TCCTCAAATAGGAGTTCCTTAGATTCAATCTTCAAAACTTTTTTCCAACGGCCTACCTCCACAAATTCTCCCATCTCAGCTCCTCCCCCTCTCCCCCTCTCAGCAACCTTCTCTTTGCTTCACCCTCTCACCCTCTCAGCAACCCTCTCTTTGCTTCACCCTCTCACCCTTGGAAAGCTCTTTGGAATGGTACTTTATTATTTATGTATGTTGCTTATTGACTTTCAATGATCTTTGACATAATTTGCTTGATCACTGGTGGGCTCAATATATGTTACCGCTCACCGCTCGGTGAAAACTAGAAAGCATAAGGCGAAGTTCTACATTGAAGTTCATCCGACACTAGAGATGTCACTTGCATAAATAGATGCTGAGCTTTTGATGGAAAACAATCTGATTATTTTTTCAGTCGTTCATTCCTGTACGCTTCCCCCTCCCCCCCCCCATTTGAAAGAAGACATTTTTGTTTATTAAAAGATTAATCTCTCTCTCTCACACGCAGCATTGTATAGGGATAGATCATTATTCAGGTCTTTTAGACGTTTTTTATCATAAACTAAAGGTTCTTTAGACATTAATGTCACGGCTGAAGTGGTTGGACTGGATGAGTTATTGTTTTGCCATTTTTGTCATTTAGTGGACAAAAATAACTAAACAATAAACCATTCAAAGATATAATGATCAACCTAAATTCAACTTCAGCTTGGAAGGAGCTTACAACTTTCTTAATAATTTATTCACTGAAAACAAAAACCTTTTAAGTTATTTAGGGCCTATTTGTTTCCTCTTAATTTTTATTTCTTAAGAGGAATCTTTTAACTTTAAGAGAAAAATGGCTGTTGGTTTTCTCTTATAATTTTTTTTTGTTTTTCAATGATACTCTAAAAAAGACAAACAAAAACTCTCATATATAGGGTTAAAATGGATATTTGATCATTTATAGAGTTCAAAATTCAAAACAACATTCTCTGCATTCAGAGTTCAGAAGAAAAAAAATTCACAATACTAATATATCTCTTAATGTAATTATTGTACTTACAGATGTCAGACTTCAGAGCAAATGAATAGGCCCTTAGTTAAGCCACCTCAGCTATTATCAAAGCATCCCTATCCAGTAGCCACAATTGAGTTATGTTGGGATAGTGTTGGTAGTGTTCGATTTGCAGTAGATCCCTACCTCCCGCAATCTCCCTATGTGTTCCAAAAGGCCCCTATGAAGCATCTACATTTGCTCCCAACAACATGGTTCCAAACAATGTTGCAACAAGCTTTTGCAGCTGTACATTGGGGACATCTTGCCATGAAGGAAAAGAGAGATGTTTACAGCTGCAATGGCTTGTTGGGACTGTGTTAGGAGCAGATCTAAACCCACATGAGACAGCTCTAAAACCCTTGCAAATCAGATTTTGGTCCTCATAAGACCATGGTCACACCATTCATACAGTCCCTTGCAGCTTTGCATTAGGAATATCTCCTTGTATGATTTTTTTTAATGGGGGGTGGGGGGGAAATGCAAGGCCGTAATCTCTTTATTCATCTTATAAAAAAAAAAAAAAAGAAACAGCACTGCACAAAAATAGGGCTGCAAAAGTATCTAATCAAATCCAAATTTGACTCGTATATATTTGAGTTCCAATAGTATTTTATCTATGGGATTGGAATGCATATGAATTGCAACGAGATATTGAATAGTATTAATAAATTAAACTAAAAATAATTAGAAGATTATACGTTAATAAAATGGATTAAAAATGACTTTAACATTATATTGCATTAGCGAAATGAATTGAAAATAAACTTAAATTTATGACAATCTTGTAAAAATAAAGAATTTGAACCTATTCCACTGATACAATATAAAATTTAAGTATGTATGAGTGTATATATTTAAATGAAATAGAATTAAATTTGGATATTGTTATATCGGATAAGGGTGGATGCATATTCGATCCAGTTATAAACATATCATTTTTTTTTTATATATCTACACAACTGTGGTAGTCCATCCTCCATCCCATAACCCGCAACCCGAATTTAATATAAACATATCAAACTCGGGTCACCCTAATGGGATCGGCTTCAAATCTGAATTTGGATAAAAGGATATCGTTTGCAGCCCTAAACGGAAGGGTCTGGCCTAATTAATTGTTTATTCTGCTACATAACTCTATTACTTAATACCCAAAAATAAATAAATTAATAAATGTATATCTACGTAGAAATGTGCTTGATCTAATCATGAAGATATACTGGGTCTGGGCTCCGCTGAATGTTAAAATCATCTACTGGCTCAGTGTCTCTGTCCATGAAAATCAATTGGACAGTAGTCCATAGATTAACGGCCCGGGGCTCTGTTTGTTCATTCCCGCCAAAGTCTGAAGTCCAAACCACCTTATAGAGCAGTAGTTGTAGGAATTCCTAAATCCTAAGCAATAGCGGGCAACCAGAAGTTCGTACTTTTAAGTTTTATCATCGCATTCACATTATCTTCCACTTTAAGCATTTAACCGCATTAACAAGAAAATAAGAAATAAATTAAAATAAGAGCGAAGTCAGATGACCGGACCGGACCGGACAAGTACAAAGAAAAGTCGCAGGGAAGACCCGACGCCCTTTTTCTCTGCAGATTGCGGGGACGATTTTCGGAGAAAAGGAAACCAGTTTCGGAAGGGATTGCTTCTCTCGCTTCCTGAGAGATAGTCTAGTAATCTATTTAATCCTCTGAGAGAGAGAGAGAGAGAGAGAGCACGTTAATGGATCAGATCCTGAACAAGGTGGGGTCCTACTGGTTCAGCAGGAGAGCCAGCAAGGAATTCGATTCCGTCGGCGATGATCTCAACGTATGGTCCTCTTTATCTGTATCTTCACCTACAAAACTAGGATTTCAAATATTTTCTGTTCGTGAGCAGTGTTTTTTACTTTTTTATTATTTTTTTTCTTTTTGTTAACTCTATGTTTAATCTCTTAACTCAATTGATTTTGGTTTATCAGATCATTTTGATGTTTTTTTTCTTTTAGTTGTTGGGTAACCTAGAAGAGGACCGGAATTTCAGCTTTCATAGCTAGGTTGTATTTAATTGTCGTTATTTATTCCTTAAACCCATAGTTTAAACCTGGAGATAATTAACGTTTAATGTTAAAAAAAAGTAACTTCTGGTTGAAGCCTCCGTCAATCACTGTGGCAATTCTCTTTTCAGTTTTATAAGGCATGTTGGTTTGCTTCTTGTTAATGCATGTAGTATTTTGTCAGTGGCGAAGGTCATAAACCACTGAATACTGATGATCTGCCTAAGAGGGAGATTTGGAAACCTTATCGATTTAAATGAAATCAATGATGTCTTAAACCGCAAATAGGATTATAGGAAGTGGGTTATTATTACTTTATGCTTTAAATAAAACCAATGTAAAAGTTTCATTAAATCAACATGCTTTACAATCTGAGATATACAATTTGCACTTCGCCACTTTGTACGAAATGGTTAAGGTTGGGAGAAAAGTGACCCATCTGAATTCAAAGACTGGAAATGTGAAGGAGGTTTGGGCCATGTGTCTGTATACCGAATCAAGGGACTGAGATCAATATGAAGATGAGAATTTGCTAATATTGATTGGTGTTGAGAGTTATCCAGAACAGGCTTTGGCTGATTAGCAAGCATAAATAAATACTTTTCCAAATCACTTTATATATAGCCTCCAGTGTCTTCAACTGTCCACAAAAGTGATGGTGATACCTCTCCTGCCACACATTATAAGCAGCACTGCAGAGAACAACATGACCAATATTATCAATGATAAAATCTCCTATGAAGATTCTTTTCATCTATATGATCTCACAGCACCACCTAAGCATTCTTCTTCTATTAGATTAAAGCAACTAAGGTACATAGTCAGACTTTATCTGAAAAGCTGCATCCAAAGAATAAAACGATCCACATTCTTTGTGCTTGTACTACCGAAATAGACACAGTTCAATGAGGGCTCTCCAAGTTGTGAAGCAATGTCTAGGAACATTGGGTAAGAACCAAACTAATTTCCAATCAACTTGTCTGCCATCTTCACAGATCAGGTTCCAAACTGAAGAAATAGTAAAGTCATCTATGACTGTTTGAGTCCACACGACAGCATCAGCTTCTTTGTAGTTTATTTAGCAACAGCATTAAGCTGATTCCATGATTCAAGAAGCTGAGGTGAGGAAGAAGGACTATGCACCTAATCCCATTCCATTAGTAATAGTACTAACAATATCCATCCTGTCTAGTTGGCCTATTATTGTTCTTTGGCCTTTCATTATATTATATATATATATATATAATATAAGTGAAGAGTTGTATTATTTATTATATTCATCACAAGAGAACAGACCATCACCAATCTGTAGTTGTATATGGTAGGATCTCGTCTTTCTTTGTATTGTCTTGTGCTTTCTGTTAAATGAATATAATTTTAGTTTCTGACTCAAAGAAAGGGTTTCAGTAGGTTCACAATAAGTGCCTATTGTACATATTGATATATGTTAATAATGAGAGCACATTGTTACAAAACAGCAGATCTTAATTATGATTATGGTATAGTAGGGAAAGTTTTCAAATTTGCTGGTATGTAGTTTTATCTCTTCAACCAGTTAAGTCAATAAACGAAAACATCCCCAAAATTAACGTTTGAGAGCCTGCTGCAGTTCATTATTTGACCATAGATGTATTGATAGAACAAACTACTAAGAATGTTGGCTTCCATATTTAGTATTGCAATCATAAAGATATATCATTCATGACATTTGTCCGTCCTTGACAATATTCTAGTGATTCTAAATCATTTCTGTGGTGATTGAACTGAACTTCAACCATAATGAGAAAGTTCTAAATCATTCTAAATCATTTGTTGTGAGCAAGTTCTTTATAAGTTTTACATTCTTTTTAGTCATCCATAGTTGGCATGAAAGGAGTATTTAGATTTTTCAGCTACTAGGAGTGTAGAATCTGTCAGATAATAAGTTTAATTATCACAATCCATCAAAAAGTTTATACTCTGATTAGAAAATCAGGAAGGAAGAACTTTTCCATGAAGGACTCCCTTCATAAATCAATTGTCTATAACTCTAATGGTTTTCCATCCATAGGAATATAGGATTGATATGACAGTTCATCAAGGAAGGAGATGTTCTGGGCAAGGTTCAAAGTATCGATACGCCCCTGTGTATTGGCAGAGGCGTATTGGTACTAAAAATTATGAGCGTTATGCTTTTTTAGTTTTTTTTTTCAAAACTTGATTTTTGGGGAGGCTTTTTAGTGTTTTCTTATTAAGATAGGGGGGGGGGGTCCCGAGACACCTGTAAACAGGTGTATCAGGACCCAAAAGATACAATACAACATGCCCGATACAGGGCGTATCGTATCGATACTTTGAACCTTGGTTCTGGGGCATCCATCCATGTGATTTTTTAGTTAAGGAGTATTTCAAAAGGGTGGATCTGTGGATATGCACTTGGGGAAGGGTTATCATACTGAAAACCTTCTATAATGAAGTAGAACCAAGAAACACATCCTCAGATGATTACAGAGGGTGAAACAAGATAAAAAAAAATAACTACATGTTGAAATTCATTATATATTTATAATTAAGGAACCTGTACAACATTTTTACTAATGAAACATCATACGACAAAGTTGACATATTGTCTCATATCTATAGTCCTTGTAGATTAAAGAAACTGATTTCATCTTGTATTGGTTTATTAAGTCCAAAGGCAACAATTAATTGTGATTAGCAAGTTACCTTCTAAAGCAATTAATAGAGATACATGATTGTATTGGTTTTTGAACAATATGTGAAGTTTGTAGTCCAGTGGTACTTCCACTATAACTAAATTGTGGCAGAGCTTAAATTCCAGATAATATGTCTTGCCTATTGTGATTTTAAGACATTATTAATCAATCACCCAACAGGTTAAAGAATGGTTCAAGTTGGTGATCAACTCTAAGATGAAATGCTGCATAGATGATCTTGTCAGGTTGCTTCTTTTGTTCTTTTACAGAGATTCTTGGTTGGGTTGGATAAGTGGGGAATGGGTAGAAAGCACATTTAACCATGGTGGGGGTGGGAAATGTTGCATGGAGGGGGATATGGGAACCAGAACCTAAGGCATGTCCACGAGTCTGACTCAGCAAGATGAGAAAACATGAACTCATAGACACCTCTATGGAAAAGTATATACTATTAAAATAGTTGATGTTTTTTGAAGCTCACATCAAATACCTGCAGAAGGGGGGTCTCAAATGTATCCTTTGTTATCAATTAACAGTTGATACAAAAAATGATGTTCACCTTGTAAATTAGCTGTTTATTTTAAAAAGGAATGTTATATACACGTCTCCTCAAGAATCCATGGAGTGCTGGACTTTCATGCATGTCTAAAGTGGACATGTCTATTTAGGAGAGTCCATGCAACATTAGTTCTGAGAGCAAACACTGGATCCCCTGGCTTCATTCAAGATAGTTGTCAAGGCGATGCCTAGGCGACAAAGGCGCCCTTTGAGGCTCGCCTCGCCTAATTGCCTAACAGTTTTCTACTTCCTACTATAAAATACTTTTTTATTCATTCTTTTTGAGATTATAATTATAAAATAGACATTATTAGACTAAAATAATTATTTTTTGTGTTTATATACTAATTTCTTTTTATGATTTTCTTATTTATTAGGGTTTAATCAACACAAACATTGCTAAATGCTGTATTGAACCCTCAAAGACTTAAAAACCTGAACCAATAAGGAAGAACTAAAAATTTTATCTAATCAGCAAATTTTCCTCTTCCATATATTCTTCTTCTACTACTACTACTACTACCAGTATTTTTTATTTTTTTCTTTTCCTAAAACAAAAATAAGGGTTCAGCCCCTGTATTTTTTGAATTTTATTTTCCTTCTTCCTTTTCTTCTCATGAATATATTGATTTTCTATACTTTAATATGAAATTTATACTTTTCGTATGAAAATCATGAATAATCATTAAAGAAATATGGTTATGGTACCTAGGGAACTACCCTAGGATCTATGTTTTTAACATAAAAAATCCATCACCTAGGCGATGCCTAGGTGACTAGGCGACAAGGCGCCCCCCAGTCGCTTAGCCTTGCCTTGGCGCCTTGAAAACTATATCAAGTTTTCCTATACAAGATATGTTTGTTTACCAAATTAAATTGGTGAGAAAAATTACCTGCAATCTTTGAGATTCTCTAAAACCTAGAAGGAAAGGCATACACAAACAGGGAAGATAAAGTTCATTCAGATTCTCTTTGATGTTAAACCAGGCCATTCCACTCCACCAAAACTAACTACCATGATTGATATCTTCAGTTCTTCTTCTATGTGCACATTCCATTCATCTAGCATAATTATTCCTTAGGTTGATTGTGGATTTATTTGCATATAGCCTGCTGTTTACCATTGCGATCTCCTCATAAGGGATTCTCAGCAAGCCAGGCTGCACTGACCTATGCCTGACTCGGTTTGGGTTCATGAATATTGATGTTTATCGTATTTGGTTTATCCATTGCATTAAATAATTAAAATATATATAATTACTTGTTTAATTGAGTTCTCCTTAACTGATTTAGCTTGGCTTTTGAGATGAAATGATTGAGTTCAGGTTTGTTCCATGACTAACCTATCATTTTTCTATATGACTTTCTGCTTTTATTAGGTTAACTTATTGCTTATTTGTGTATTAAGGCAACAACTCCATTCTTTTTTCCTTTTCTTTTTCTTTTTGTTGATCATCTAACTTCATTCATTATTTACCTAAATTTAACAAGGCTGATTGTCATTTTCATGCTATAATGTGAGTCATCTTCTGCTTTGTTTTAGATTTTTAATTTTGTCTAGTATTAGCTAATAACTGTAATTGTTTTAGTCCCATACTGACATTAGCTTCTTAAATATTCAGTCATTGTCAAGCAGCATTGAGGGTGGAGCGAAATGGTTAGTTAATAAAATTAAAGGTACATTTCTTTCTCCCTACTTCTGGTTCCTTTCCTCTTTTTGTGTCCATTTTCATGATTCTTAAATGCTTTAATTTGAATTAGTATTTGAAATATTCTGTTTGGTTTGGTTTGGTTTCTTGCCTGAAATTCAAATTATTGTGCATATATGCAGTATTTGTGAATAGGCTTTGCTTCATTTTTTTTTGTGGATCTCCAGAACATCTTACAAAGCTATTGTTGTTGCTCCTGAAATATGCCCTTGAAATAAATGAACTATTTGTAGAAAAATCAGTCCATGGGATGTAATAGTATTGTCGTTATAAATTTATAAAGCCAATAGGCCCAATATGTTGGCACTTTGAATATCTTCCAAGAAGAATTCGATTGATGTGGGGCAATCGGCTATCATGCATTATCTTTGTTCTTATGGTATTTATGGTAAGAATTCATATATATATTTTTCCTTTTCTGAATGAAAATCTGCAATATTTTCAATTAAGTGATCTTTTGATTTTTGCAGGAAAAATGCAAAAGCCATTGCCAGAGCTGTTGCGGGAGTATGACATGGCAGTAGGCATCTTCCCTCGTGACGCTACAAACTATGAGTTTAACGAAGAGACAGGGAAGTTAACTGTGTTCATACCATCCGTGTGTGAGGTTGGGTACAGAGACTCATCAGTCTTGCGTTTTGCCACAACTGTGACTGGGTACCTGGAGAAAGGAAAGCTAACTGATGTTGAAGGAATTAAGACCAAGGTGATGATTTGGGTGAAGGTGACCAGCATTTCCACCCAAGGATCAAAGATCCATTTCATGGCGGGGATGAAGAAATCCAGGAAGAGGGAGGCTTATGAGGTCCTTAGAGATGGAATCATTGTAGATAAATTTTAAATTTTAGCTTTGTTTGAACGTATGTAGGAGTGTTTCATAGTCTTCTCATACGTGATACGTGGTGTCTAGAAGTAGAATTGTGTTTCTTGTTTGAAAAGCCTCTGTGTGTTTATTTGATGACTCTCACCTTTTAATGTATCGTCTAATTATCATCATTTAGGAAATTTGTTGCCTAATTCACGTAGGGATTAGTTAGCGATAGAATAGAGATATTCTACTAACATAATGAAAGAAGAAAAAAAAAAAAAAAAGAAGAGAATTGCAATTTACATCTCAATTCCTCAAATTCTTAGAGTTCAAAATTCTTCTTTCATTTTTTTTCCTAGTAGGCTTGTAGCTTTTTTTTAATTCGAAATTATCCTATAAATTGTATTTAATTTTGGATTTTAGTAGTGGTGGGTTATCAGGTTATGGCGACCTTGGTTTCCTCCTAAGTTGATCAATCCGAAATATTTAATGAACTCGATTTACTCAATCGGGCATCAAACTTCGTAAGAGACCCGCCCATCTCATCATCCATGATCTTAGATGCATAATGCGTTATGGGACGTCAAAAGAGCGTTTTGACGGTTTTTGTCATGATCCAGGGATCCCTTTTTTTAAATTGTCTAAAACTAATTATAAGTTTTCAGCATTTTTCTTAAATTCATTACAATTTTTTAAAAATGTTTAAAATTCACCATGTCACTAATTTGACCTTAAACAGATTAACAGGTGTTAATATATTATCATTTTAATTTTTATAGCAAAATATAAAATATATACAAAATAAATTAATGGGTGTTAATATATTACTATTTTAATATTTAGACATGAAAAAAGGAAAAAAGTTTAAAAAATATTTTCAAATATAAAATACATAAAAATATAGAAATTACAAAAAATATAAAAAATTATAGAAATTGCAAACAAAATAAAAAAAATATTTTCAAATTATAGAAACTAGAAATTAAAAAACAAAGTCAGAAAATAAAAATTGTAGAAAAAAACCAAAAATTATAGAAAACATAGAAATTGTAATAAATAACAAAAATAAAAATATAGGGAAACTTATAGATTGTAGAAAATAGAAAAATGTAAAAAAAAAACAGATATTATAAAAAACATTGAAAATTATAACAAAACACTAAAAATGCAAAATAAAAAAAGAAAATTGAAAACTGAAAAAACCATTTTTCCTCTAACTCACCATTCAGGCATTCAAGGATAATTTGATTATAAAAATTGTTATTTATGCTAATGAACACGGTGCACTAACTGAAGGTGAGTTTTAGACATTTTAAAAAGTTGTAATGAATTCAAGAGAAATGTTGTTTTTAGACAATTTCCCCTTTTTTAAATCTCCAACAGACTTCTCTTAGTCCCAGTCTTATGTCTGAGACTGAGATGCTCAGCCATGGGCCCATGGTGGACTGGTGGCGAGCTGGACTATGATGGCGAGAACGAGGAGAGAGATGAAAAGGGTACACGCCGGCACGCGGAACTCCCGATAAAATTGTGAATCAAAAGAAGCAGCTTGAAACTTCTAAGAACGTTTGCAAAAGGATGCACCAGCCGGGAATCGAACCCGGGTCTGTACCGTGGCAGGGTACTATTCTACCACTAGACCACTGGTGCTTGTTGGTGCTCGCATCCGACAAGTTTATAATTAATAGATTCATATAATTAGGTTTTGGTTAACGCTTTTTTCCATTTTTCGCCGGGTTGAACAGGACCCATTGACAAGCATGTGTGACACTCATCTCTGTTATGTCTATCCATTAATGAATTTAAACATTATCTTGATAGAAACCATTGCCTCTTACATTTATTACCAATAAATCCTAGGGCATCGTTCAGAAGTATCACAGAACGACAAATTTGTGGTATTTATCATATTAAATTCTGCTTAATTTTAATTGATTCATTTTTTTAGTGTATTTATACTAATCACATCTTCTTTTGTTGTACAGTGCAACATATGCATCATATCGCTTGATCTCAAGGATTTACATAAACGGTTAGAAATTATCTAATGGTTTAGGTCTTTCTTTTCTTATATTAGTTATAGGCAAATCTATGATGCTGTAAAGGCGTGATACCATATGAGATTTGACCAATCAAATTCCCTCGACCAATTTTGAAGACTATCATCTCATTGGTTATCACTTTTATGATATTGTTTGGTTGGTTAGAATTTTTTTAATATCACAATCGGATCTAACATATCCACCCAAGGCTAAACTGTTGACTAGTCACTCGGATGAAAACAACAGTTTTATACATCCTGATATGCCAATAAGGATGTATTGATATGTATTGGGGTGTATCGATACTTTGAACTTTAGGCATTTTTTATTTTCAAAAATAGATTAGGGGGATAGATCTTCAGTTCCAATCAAGGTTCAAAGTAGTGATACACCCGCCAATACACTGAAGGATATATCGATGTGTATTGGGGTGCATCAATACTTTGAACCTTAGGCATCTTTTCATTCATTTTTTTTTTTTAATGCATAGGGGGATAAGTCTTGAGGCCTTGCGTGCCTATTGCCTTAAATGGATCAAAACCTCAAAAACACTAGGGATCTATTTGGCTTGTAATTAGAATTGAAATCAAAATCGAAATTAAAATAAAAATCGGAATAGTCTATTCCTATAGTCTAGTTCTCATGGGAATCAAAATGAGAATTAGAATAAGTTGGAATAAGATTTCATTCCCAAGGGAATGGTCATTCCCTCAAATTGGAGAATGTCATTCCTACAAACCAAACAGTTGGAATGGAAGGGAATGGTCCAATTCTAATTCTGTCCAACCAAACAGTTGGAATTGGAATAATCCGATTCTAGACTTTCATTCCTGCAAACCAAACAGACCCTAGTATTTCATGCCATATGGTGCCTTTATTATTTAAAAGAGGATTAAGGAGCCAATTGTAAATATCGGTCTCTCGGGGCTGGTGGTAGCGGGAACCAACATCTCTCCGACGTGGCGCACTTTTTCAACACCCACCGAATCCTGCCCAATAGAGACGCACTCCAGAGAACGCGAGAGCGAGTGAGCTCCCCGGGAATGGCGATTCCCATTTTCCGGTCTTTGTTTTCTCATTATCAGAGGCTCTCACTTTCTTTCTCTCACAACCCTTTTAAATATGATTCACATCCAAGGGCGAGGAGATCGCTTTCTCTCTCATGCGCTCCACCAGAGGGTCCAGTTGGGTAAGTGATTCTCCGCATTTCACTTGAATTTCTAGAGCTACTGCCATTCTAATGGTCTCCTTTGGAGGCTTCTGATCTTCTGTCGAGCATTTCCATGGTTTAGTCTGGTTTTGCAGCATTATTTTCTAAATTGGGAAAATAGATTCCTACATTTGTAACGTGTGGTGCAAGAGTTGTGATTCTTGGACTGAAGTTAATGAACTAAAAGCTAACCTGAAAACTGAAAAGGGTTAACAGAACTCTGATTAGAAGGGGAATTCAAATGGCTCACTTGGATTCAAACTTACGGAGGACAAACCTGTTTAAATGTAGGAAAAATCAAGGAAATAAATAGTACAGAAAGCATCAATTATTCTTCTCAAGTAAAGCTTCCATGTTCCGGTCTTGACTGATTATAGACTATAGCTAATCTAATGCCTAATAGGTTTCCCCATATTCTGCCTACGACTTATAGTGAAGCATCGGACCCATACATCACCCACATCTGAAACAATTACTAGCTTAGCATGATCAACCGGAGCAGTTAATCCGCCTTGTTCAGCTGTCCTTGACTATCTCTGAACCTACCTCTCCAATCAACCGTTAAAGAAGGAAAGGGTCCCTTTAATCTAGTATTTGGAGAGAGAAAATTCAAAAGATTTAGATACTCTTAGATTAAAAAGGAAGTGCACAATGTAAGTATTAGTGCTGGTCTGACGGATCCTAACATTCCATTGATTGTTAAGGAACATTTAAGCGTAGTATTTTCACTTCCTTTGTTGTTTGATATAAATGAATAGCTAATCTACACAATGAATATCGATTTTCTTTCTTAAAACGTTAAACACTATAAGGTAACAAAGATAGACTGTCAGATTTCTTTTATAGCTATGTTAGAAGTTAGAACTCAACAAAAAATGAGCTGCTTTAATAGTTTATACTTCTTTATAGACTATTCCAGCTTTTCTTGGTCTTGCCAAATTGGAATCCCAGGCACACGTTAGATTCTGGTTTTCCTGTCCATGTCCATGCAAAATTGATTTTGACAGAACAGGATCTAATCAATACCAACCAAAGTGAGGTAGTGGGTCATTCTATTAATCTTTGCATATTTATGTAAGTCAATTTACCATAACCTGAATCATAAGAAATGGACATCTTGCAATATTTAATACATCTAAAATGTTCCAGCTAGATGCCGATATTGAACTATTGTAAGCAAACAGCTTCTTTTCTTTCTTATAGGCCTTGAGATTTGTCAAAAAGAAATTTAACAATCACATTGATCTATTTTCTCATGGTCATAGGTCGGAGGTGTCTTTCTGTGTTGGAACTCACCTAATTCCACACCCTAACAAGGTAGTACAAGCCTTGTAAAGCTCTAGTTTTCTCCTAACTTCTGAAAAATATCATTCTTTACCTCTATTTTTCTTTCACATATTATGTTCTAGTGTAATACTCACTTGAAAAGTACCAATTTTGTGCCAATGCACCTCACTTTTAAATCTTGCTGTCTTAAGGTTGATAGAGGAGGAGAAGATGCCTTTTTCGTGAGCAGTTACAATGGAGGAGTTCTTGCAGTTGCGGATGGTGTCTCTGCGTAAGTTATTCAAATACATTTCCTTCAATTTGAAGCACTAGATTTTTTTTCTCTCATTTTTTTTTTCTAACTGCTTGAGTGACAGATGGGCTGAGCAGAACATAGATCCTGCATTATTCCCCCAAGAGCTGATGGCTAATGCTTTGTGTTTAGTTGATGATGAGGAGGTGATGTACAATTTAGATTTTGCTCCACACTATAATACACATACACATATGTAATAAAGGGCCTTGCTGTTGTATTTTCCAACAACATTGGATAAATGTTACTTATTTGGCAGGCCAATTATGACCCTCAGATCCTGTTGGGGAAAGCACATGCTGCTACCTCTTCCATTGGTTCAGCTACTGTGTAGGTTAAGTTATTCAAATACATTTCCTCCAATTTATTATAAATATTTTTTAGCTACATATGCCTTGTTATGTGTATGCGTGCATATATACACACATAAGATGTGTTTGTGCATGTGTGTGTGTGGTCAAGACTCGTAAACATTCTCTTCCATTTGACTAAGTAGAATTGTTGCCATGCTGGAGCGTAATGGAATTCTGAAAATTGCAAATGTTGGGGATTGTGGATTAAAGGTTGTTCGGCAAGGTAGGATCATCTTACATCCTGTTCTTTCTACAGTTTGGTTTTCTTATGCTAAGTTAGTCTAACATCTCTGCAGTAAGAGTTCCTTCACTGTCCTTGTTCTTTTTCAGGCCAGATTGCTTTCTCAACATCTCCACAAGAGCATTACTTTGACTGTCCTTACCAGTTGAGCTCTGAGGCAGCTGGGCAGACATACCTAGATGCTGTGGTAAATTATATCAAGCATTAATTATATCTGTAGTGAAATATATACATACTTAAGTGGGCTTTATTTCCTTATGACATGTTAAATGTCAAGTAGTCAGAGATTTCGATACCCTAAGAATTGCAGTTATCTCATATTTCATCATATAAATACACACTTCTATCTTGTTAATGATCTAAAAACAGAAGTATTTCCTAGACAGAGCAAAAGTAACAGTAGTTCATTCTTAGATAGGGCATGTACCAAATAACAATGTGAATTTTAGATCTCTCTTTTTCACGAGCCATGTGTTGTATGTGTGCACAGTGCACATGTTTCTTTCGAATGGTGCATAGGTTAACTGCTTTTCTCTGGATGAAAATTTCTCTCCACACCAAGTAAACCTCTCAAAGTAAAGAAATTCATAATTAGTAAGTGGTGTTATATCTGATACTACCTTGTTTTGGATTGGCTAAGTCCTAAGTCTACCTCTGAGCTTATATCTGAAGCCTCTGGACCCAATGTTCTCAAGATACCTTGGAAATAAAGATGTGAAGACAAGCAGAAACAATCAGTTACCGTTATCCTTTTTATTTTAATGAATTTTTTTTACTATAAAAAAGCTTAATTCTTTGGCTTTAACATTTCATTGTTATAGTTGGATTGTGTGCCTGGTTTGAACTTTAAATTCTTTCCCTCTGAAATGGAAATTAAGGGGTAGTTGAATGAGAATGTTCTGATGGTGATGATCAAAGTGAAAGGCCAAAAAGGGATAACAAAGGATGTCCTTAGACGTTAGCTTCCCTTGCACTGTTGAAAATATCATGACAATTTCTTTTCTCTCCCCTACTCACTCCTTGTAGTACAAAAAGAGAAAACTTTCAATTTTTAACCTAGAACTGGTCCTGTGTTGACAAAAGCAAAATATTCATCACCACCTCTTCCTCTCCCAACATTTTCATCTATGCACCTATGCTTGGCAAACTGACACTGATTACCTCTTTCCTGATGGTGTACCTCCTATATCTTTTGGAAACAGGTTAGCACTGTGGAATTAATAGAGGGAGACACAATAGTTATGGGATCTGATGGACTATTTGACAATGTTTATGACCATGAAATTGTCTCAACAATCTCTAAATTCAGCAATGTTTCAGAGGCTGGTAGGTGTTTGTTTCTTTAATTTGCCTATCCACTCCAGAAGTTGCTCGTTCCCCTCTTGAGTTTCTGACTGGTTTCAACTTCAACCATAGCCAAGGCATTGGCTAACCTAGCTAGCAATCATTCGAGGGACACTGACTTTGATTCACCCTACTCATTGGAAGCCAGGAATAAGGTAAGTTATTAGAAGAAATTAATTATAACTAACAAGTATGATTACTTTTAAATAATCAATATATATGATTTTTACAAAAGAAAGTCTTTTTGGTAATAGAAAAGTCAATAATAACATTGCATACTTATCATGGCCAATGCTTGCAGGGCTTTGATGTTCCATTTTGGAAGAAAATCCTTGGGATGAAGCTGACAGGAAAGCCTCATTTTAAAACACTTACACAGTTACTGCCCATGTCTGTCTCTCAATGTCAAGGCTAACTACTCTCTCATTATGCAGGTGGAAAGCTGGATGATATCACAGTTATCGTGGGCCAGGTTGTAGCTCATGATACATTTTCATCTTCTTAGATAAATTAAGAAGTATGAATGTAATTATTGAAGGCCCTAAAGCGATTTTCAGGGAAGCTGTTTGATTATTTATTCATGATGAATCATGACACCAATGTCCAGAATGGAAAGATGCCATACTGCACAGAGCTATTGATTTTTTTAGTTGATAAATGGTGTATATATATATTAATAAAATTTAAATAGCAAAAGAAGAGCCATCCCTAGATGCAACTTAACATGGTTAATGAGCTAGAATCATATCCAAAATTTACAGATTTTCACCCAATATTATATCCCTAACTGAAGATTAGCTCCTCAAAATGATTTCGGAAATGCTCAATGAGCAACAAATGAAACTCCATTAATCATGAGTCTCTCTGGCTCAGTTTGGAAGGAGTACAAGTACAAATATGTACAGTACAATTACATACAAAGTACAAAAGTAATACAAACTACAAGGTTTTGCACTCTATATATTTGTATTCGTACTCCTTCCAAACTGAGCTCCTGTTTTCCCAAAGCATTAATCATGACTCTCTCTCTCTGTGTTTGGTTTGAAAGGGAAGGTAGTAGGGGTGAGAAAAAAAAACCGAAAAAACCGATCAAAACCAAACTAAAAAATCGGTTAACTGAACCAGTTGGTTCAGTTTTGGTTTGGTGTTTTTAAAAAACCGAAGGTACCGATTCAGTTTCGGTTAATCAATATAAAAAACCGGTGGTTAATCGAATTGACTGGTATATATGTTTTTCTATGTATTTTCTATATATTTATGTATATTATATATATTTTTTATATTTATAAATTTTTATTATAAAACTAAAAACCAAAAAACTGGTGAATCGAACTGAAGGTTAACCAAACCGGTCAACTGGTTAACCGATTGGTTTCAGTTTGGTTCTGATTACCAGTTTTCTAAAAACTGGTACTACTGATTTGGTTCAAAAAAAGGCCCACGGTTCGGTTACCCGAACCGTGAACACCCCTAGAAGGTAGCCCTTCCTTTCCTTACCTTTTCTTTCAAGCCAAACACAGTCTAAGGGGCGCATTCATGTAAAAAATCCGGCTACTTCCTCCCCATGCACCTATTGTTACGCTGTACAAAGGTCAAAAGGAAGGAGGCTTCGTAGTATTACTTATAATCGCTAGAACACTTTCATAAACTAGGAGGACGAGCATAATAGATCTCAGTGAATCGCCACGTTCTTTTGAATAACGCAATGAAAGGGTACCAAGTGTGAGGGATTCTGCTTCTGATTAACAAAGTAGGTGTTTGGCATCGGTGCTAGGAACATCGCGGTGCTGGGCATGTGGAGTATTTTTTGTTTGGAACTGGTGCTGTCACATAGACATTTTTTGAGAAAACAGCACTGGTTTTATTTGGTACCAGTGCCGGCAGAAATGTTTTCAACATTCATCTTATTATCCAACATTCAAGATGATGTCATATTGATGCCATGTCATTGTATTATTGGTAGCAATGCACCGTTTTTCCGGAACGGGATCTGCTCCTCACACTTGGGTGATCCACGTGCACATCCATCGTGTATTGGGAACATCTTACAAGTATGGGACATGTTCCCAATGCATGGTAGGATGTGCGTGTGAAGCACCCTATGTGAGGAATAGATCCGATCTCCGTTTTTCCAAAAAACATCAAATTTGACATTTCTCCATACCACACTTTCCCGGTTTCCAAGGCATAGTCTGAAGTAACATTTTTTTCTGAGAAAATGATACCAAACAAGAGGGCATTACTTCCAGCACCCTTTTCTCTTAAGTGGCACCTACAAGGCACCATTTTCTCAGAAAATGGCACCGATGCCAAACACCGTCAAAGACAACACGTTTTCCAGCACCCAACCCCTTGACATCAAATGTTTGATTGTGAGAATTTTGCCTAGCACTGCAGTCTATGTTAAAAAAAATGTTCCTTCAGATGGAAAATGAAGACAATCTTCCAGAGTTCCAGGGAAAGGAATCCTGATTTGGACTTTACAAGGATTCAAGGGAGGAGCTTAACACTTAACACAAGGACTGTCCTCTTCAAGCTTCCATATTCTTGTATCGTCCCTTCTCAGTTGTATTTTTCATCTCTTTATCCTTCGAGGTAATCATATTAGCGAATCCACCTTCTGTCATTGATGTCTCTCTCAATCTGTTATTGACGATCGCATATCCTAGTTAGCCACCACTTCATTACATTCTTTCACTATGACTGACATCTTCGCTGCTGCTACGTGAAACAGATCAGGATAGACGGTGGAGAGTGGACCATCACAGCACTAGGAGAGTCATGCCAAAACAGAACATGAGATCCTTCTCTAGGTTTATTATATGCAACATTTTCAAGCAACTCTTCCTCGATGCCTGCATGATTCCTTTCCAGACAGGGATAGGAAGTAGAAACTAGGCAAGAATCAAAATCAAGGTGGCTCAGTTGGTATGTAAATAAATTTGTCCCAGAATAGATGTGGATCCGAGTTGAGACTTTGAAGAAGAATATTTAGATTTTTGTAAAAAGAAAAATAAAAGCATTGTACTATCCATATGTCCGAGAAAAATGAATTACGGATTTACGGCCCCTGTGGCGTGTGATTCAATAGAAAAAAAAAAAGGTTAAAGCAGTCATACTTACAACCACTGATCTTCCTCCACAAGTGTTCCCTTTAAGAGCCAAATTGTCACAGCAATTTACAAAGTAAAAGCTTTGTTAATCGACTGGAGGGATCGAAGACCAATCCCACTTCTATCTTTGACCATGATGAACCAGGTGATCTTATCACCAGGACCATTCCACAAGAAATCATGCCCCATCTTCCCTAAAAGATTTGCCACTAAGGATGGAAATGTAACCTTCGAATCCTCTCCGATCCAGCTAGGAGAGAATTCTCTACTGGCCAATAACATTATGCCATCTCAATCAGTGAATTTTGGATCTTTGGTGGGTTTAAGACCCAATGCCAACCAGTGACTATCATTTAAAGCGTTTGAAAAATTATAAATTAATTAATTGAAAGCAAAACATAGACAAACAAAGATCCAACAACGCCCTCAAATTCCCCCCTTTATTTAGGCTCTATTGCCACTTAGGTATACTTAGAGCCTTTGAAAGGTAGACTTAGGGGCCACTGGTAGAAAGTTTTCAAGGTTTTTCTGGAGGACTCATCACCTATGGTGGATGGCGACTTTCATTGCCGATTAGGTCCCATTGAAAAAAAGGTCTAAAACAGACAAAGGAGACCGACTATGACACCCTTCCCATCTGACATCATGATATTGTCCCAAAGAAATTTCTGTAAGCAATAATAAAATTAAACAATTTCCCCTAAATTCTTGGAAAACAAAGTTAAAATTTTCAGATACTAACCAATTTGCATTGAACTAAATGCTACAAATGGGCAACAATTAGTAAAAATTCCATAGTGCATGACCAATTCAGACAGGTGAACTCAACCACCTTTACTGATCATTAACATTATTAAATCTGAAAGCAACCAATTTATATGGTACAAACAAATTCAATCCGATTGCTTAACTAACACCTTTTAATGGTCATTTCTAAGAGATGTATATGTGGTTTCAATCTGACATTGCCGCGGTGAAATGCATCCCTTTATCATCAGCCGGGTTGAGGTATCTGTAGTACAACACAAAAAATGCTGGTCCCTTATGTTCACTTGCTTTTGCCACTGTCACCATTGAGTTCTTGGAAGAATGCTTTTGATGCTTCGTAAGTAGACCAGCAGATTGCTGCAGCAGGAGCATGGAACAACATCCTAGGCATCCAACCTCTCATTAGTCCAGTATATCCATCCTTTCTCACTATGGTTCGTATGACACCCGCAATAGAAGCGTTGGCAAATCTATCACATCCACATACGCCCTAAGCAACCAAATATCAAAAAAGAAGCTATATAAAAAAACTACTAGAAAAACAGAGTAAAAGAATACAAACAAGAGAAATGGATGACATTGACTAGAAAAACTAGCCTATGGTTAGCACTTTTTTTATCAATAACAAGTAACTTTATTAAAATTTAAGAAACTTTAGGTACAAAAAAGGAGGTAAACTGTCTTAATTCCCCCACCAGCAAATTACAAGGGAAAACAAAACTAGAAATGAGCCCAAAACAAACAATCCCTATTCACCCCTTGCTTGACTAACCAGTCAGCAAGTGAATTAGCAGTTCTCTTCACCCAACTGTATTTCATCTCAATGTCCCTAGTCAGCCATTTAAATTTTTTCCTTTCATTGTTGTAGTTCAACACACCAATGTTGTCTTCCTTTAGCCATCTCACCACCACCTCCGAGTTGGTTGTGCTTCCACCAAACTAAGCAACTAGGCGTCAAATGGTGGCAAACAAGATTACCATTGCTAACCATTAAATACATAATGAAAAAAAGCATAACTAAAAGCTAGTGATATACCATATAAAATGCATAGATCACAATACAGAGACCACCTAAGTGGAACACTGCTTAGGGATTTACAAAAATAATATTTTGCTTGCATGTCTACACTAAACTCAAACTTAATAATGTGTTACAATGTAGTAGTTGTATAATTACCTTTTCTATCATTAAAAGAAAATAAAAATATTCAGCTTCAAGTAGCAAAATGAACAACATTATAAGACCAGATCCTCTTAAGAATATAATATATTACATTTGTATAGCTCCAAACATCTTTTCAATGGAAATTATTCATCTCATCTCCCCTTTCTTGAATTCATGGTATGAACGAGCCATGATGTCCCAGTTGGCAAAACATTATTTTTCCAGATTTTCTGCATCCTGTCCTGCAACCAGGTAGGCTTATCTAGTCATCCAAAGTAGACTAGGAATACCATAAATGTGCATCTCATGGAGCAATGATACATCATACACGATCCAGTATGATGACCCTACATAGTACAGACGAAGCATTAACTAGACATACAAGGTTCAAGTCATGGAGAACAAATGCCTTGACCAGCTTGCAATAGCTGGTAAAATATCAGTTTCCATGCCGTATAAATGGATTCAGACCCAATCTCCACTTGCTAACAACAGTCTTTTATTTTCTTTAAATGATACTCGGGCTCCAATTTCTTCCTCTCAAAAGATGCAGGAGTTTACTTCTAATGTTAACATAACTATAGGTTTTTAAATTACCTAATTTTTTTTGATAGATATAAATTACCTAAAAAATTCTCAAAGCAATCTTTTCACTCCAAAAACTTCTCCATGCCCTGCAAGTTAATCTAAGATTTTCTTACTAAAATACACACACATAAATCCTATTAATGGTGTGTCCCATGTGGTTCAACTGCCGCACCCCTGACCTGAACTTTTTCCCTGTATATATAAGAAGGTTAGTTTGTAATTTCAGTTGCAATACATTCTATTTTAGAGTCGGATCAGATGTAGTTGTATTTTTGTCACTTCTTTAGTGGAAATTTTGCTATTTGAGATTCTATCAGCAACAACTAGGATTTCAAGTATTCGAAAAGTCTTTTTTTTTTTGTTTCTTTGAAAAGTTACTAAACCATTGCTGGTGCATAAGCACCAACCAAAGGTAGTTTAGAAGTTAGTACATCACTAGTCACTACAAAGGTGTAAAACAATATAAAAAGTAACAAAAAAAGGAAACATATAGAAGGGCACATCTTGGGCTGCTTTTAGGAGCAACCAAGCAACATGAGGCACATGCCTTACAATGCGTCCTAATGTGCACCTAGACACTCCTTTTGAAACACTGTTCGACATCTTAATTTTTGAAAGAACAATCACCAATATAGTTTTAAAGCCTTCTTTTTAACAATAATAACAGTAATTATAACATATACGTTATGACAAATTATTAGTAAATGATTTAATAAAAATCTACATAACATACCATATATTATTTACTAATTCCAATTAACAAGTATTATAAGGCATGTTAAAAATTATTCCAGTGATGATTTCTTGTTCTTATATATAGTAAGCTTATACATAAACAATCTATGAACAAAAATTAATTACTTATTGTTATGTACATTAACAGTTTTTAATCAATAGTTCTTCTGTTTTTCCTATGTCTATTGGCAAAGAAAACTGAAGCAATGGATGAATTAGTGTAAAGAAGAGGGAAATGTAAACATGGATATAACACTATAATAGCCTAAGTCAGACTACATATCATATAGTATCCAGTCCAAGCAGGAATAATTAATCAAGTGCCTACATGAGAGTACAAAACCTGAAGTGGAAATGTGGAATTTATGCCAGAGATATTGCAACTTCCTGTAAATTTAATAAATGTAGAAAAGCATTACATGCAAACCAGAAAGTAACAAGATGGAGTTGCTTGGTCATTAAGAGTAGAAAATGTTAAGCCCCAAATCCCAAAACACTTCCATATTGCAATAAATTCGACCGCATTCTGAATTCTGATTAACAGAGGCGTATGTGCAGAACCATAAGCCCAACAAAGTGCAAAACGAAAGCGCTAAACAACATATTCTAAGTTTTTCGTTTTACCTGGCACTGCAATTGGGTCTTAACAACATCCAGCGGCGTTGTTATAGCAGCAGCCAAAGCCCCTGCAGCGGCCCCAGCCGTGGCATGGACTACCAACCGCTCATCACTCGCACTCTCCGGTGATATCTCCATCAACCCCCTCTTCACGGCCTCGTATGTTGCGAAGTGAACAGCCGTATACGGGGCATTCATCAAGATAGTAGTCCGATAAGAGGCGTAAAAAGCTCCAAATCCCTCTTCCGTCAATACCCTCTTAACGCAGTCCATCACACCTTTGTAAGGACTACTCCGCAATTGTAATCTCTGCTTCACCATATCCATGGGCGTTAATACAGCATCACTAGCAATAGTGGCAAAAACTCCCGAAACGGCGTGGGCAGCCGAATTGTTCGGATTCCCACCTGAGAAAAACTCCTTGCAAACCTCGTAGATAGAAAAATAGACTGCGTGGGCGGGAGCGGCACCGAGAGCCATGGCTCCAATCCCACGGTAGAGACCTATGGCGCCCTCATGTTGCAAAACTGATCTAAGGGCTTGCCGGAGGCTGACGGACCGAGCAGGGCAGGAGCCGAGAGCCTGCATACGGGTTTTGAGGGTATCGACAGGGAACATCGCCATGTGTTCGACGCAACCAGCGATGGAGCCTGCGATCATGAACTGCCAGAATTCAAGGCCGTCGTGGGAAGCAACAGTTACCTCAGGGTGGAAATCGGGGGGTTGAGGGACCGTGCGAAAGTCGGAATTTTGATGGAATTTGGGAGAGGCGTCCGTGGCCATGTGGAGAAAAGATTTGGAGGGTGCAGAAAGAGAGAGATTGAAGTAGGGCTGGTGTTTGAAAGGGAGTTGGAAGAATTAGGGTTTGGATATCGCTTTTGGATTTGGTTGATTCGGGTTCTCGCCATACACAAATATATTTTCTGGAAGAGGAGATAGAATGGAGGGAATAGGTTGAGTCACATCTGAAAAAGGAGAGATTATGCAGAGAAGAACGATGTAGCTTTGGTTGCTCTTTTGCGCCTAGACAGATATATAGAGTGCTGAGAGAAGAAGAAGAACAGGAAAAAGAACCGCCTTGCAGATTAGGGTTTGAGAAAACAGAAAAGAACAGAGTCAGTTCATTCAGAATGGGGTAGTTCTTACTTCTACCAAGATCCTTCCAAGTTCCTTTCCCCCAGGCCATATAAATTCTTTTTTTTTTTTTTTCATGTGCGAAAATTAATTAAAAAAGAAATTCTTGTTCGGTAATTCCAATTTCCAACTCCAACTTAATTGGAGAAAGCACGGGCCCACGGGCCGCACCCGCACGGCGATGTTTGGTTACGGTTGCAACTTGCAAATCGATTTTCGATTCCGATTAACTCAACGTTTCCGGTTTCCCATTTCCAACGGACGAGCAACGACGAAATGGGACACACAACGGGGGTAGCCGTCCCTGAGGAGAGAAGCTTATCAAACCCAAACGCAACATAGAGATTAGAGAAGGAAGCCAGGATGTATGTAATGGGGCTACACAACGGGGGTAGGCCATCCCCAAACCCATAAAGTTCTAGCCCATCCTGTTTGGGTTATTTGAATGCCATAACTTTTAGATTTTATTTAAAATTTGTAAAGATTGGCATTATATCAAAACATTCTGATTTAATTTCTATGGCGTGAACCCGATGCAAATATCCTGAAGATAAAAGATGCTGTATGCTAATAAGAATTTTCTTTTCTTAGTAATGTCCTGTGTGAAGGAATATCTTATACGTGGTTTGGAATATCTCCCTGAGGAGAGAAACTTATCAAACGATGACTTGAAATTGCTTCTATCCAATAAGAAAATGGCATTCCCTCTTTAATCTATCCATTTCAGCTCGTTTATTTTTATTATTAAGTCTCAATTTGAAAAAAGTATAAATATAAATATATACATTATTATAAGTACATACAAAATACAAAATACAAGATTTTACACTCTACATTTTCTAATTTGTAATCTTTTCAAACTGAATTAAAACAAGAAAACAATAAATTAAGTAATTTGGTAAGGCCTCTTACTAGTTACAGGAGAGCAAAAAAAAAAGTAGGAGAGAACATGTCCACAGCATTCTCGTACACTCAGTCTCTCTTATCCTTTAAAAGCACAGGGGGGAAGCCATTAAAACAGGGTACTCACTATATATCAGTCTCATTGCTTTTACCATTCTTGCATAGAACCAAATTAATGCATTCTTGGCCAATTGACAACGTTTGCATCCTTTCGAAATGAATCTATAAATCCAAGGGCCCCCCACTCTGGAATATCCGTGGATGAGACAAATGAAGTTTTGTCTTTTCTCTTAGTCTTTCCTCCATTAATTTCCAACATTGGAACCTTGGCTAAATTTATTATGATTATTATTGTTCATCAATCGTCCAAACTTGTTTGTTAGATATCAAATAAAAATAAAAATTTTAAATTGAAGAGTTAGGGTTTTTTTATTATGATTGATTATTGCCCATTACTTCCATGGGTTTTGCTCCACCGTGCTAAACGGCTGTAAGTTAATTTCAGGCATTAATTCTATGTGTTTATTATTCTAGCTAAAGTTGGATGCATCAGTAAATAATGTATTAATATGAAGTTAGGTTTGTTAAAGAATAAAAACCTATTCAGGCAATTCATCTAATAATTTAAGATTTTAGGTTAAACAGTTTTTTTGAAATAATATGAAAATTTATTTGATCATAATGTTAGATCATTACCTCTATCATAATTAATTAAATTTTAGCATAAGGGAAATTGTCAAAAACTCACCATGAGTTTTCAGCATTTCTCTTAAACTAATCACAACTTTTCAAAATGTCTAAAACTCACCATGTCATTAACTTGACATTAAAAAGACTAACGGCTGTTAATATATTACCATTTTAACTTTCATAGAAAATATAAAATATATACATATATTTTAATATTTAGACATAAAAAAGGAAAAAGTTCAAAAAATATTTTCAAATATAAAATATATAAAAAACACAGAAATTACAAAAAAAATATAGAAAATGCACACAAAATAAAAAATTATTTTCAAATTATAGAAATTGAAAAATAAAATCAGAAAATAAAATTTGCAGAAAAAACACCAAAAAATTATAGAAAACACACAGAAATTGAAAATAAATAACAAAAAATACAGGAAATTTTATAGATGGTAGAAAATAGAAAAATGTAAAAAAACAGAAATTATAAAAAATAGTAGAAATTATAACAAAACACTAAAATGTAAAAAAAAATGAAAATTGGAAAATGAAAAAGACCATTTTTCCTCTAACTCACCATTCAAGGGTGATTTGGTCATAAAAATTGTTATTTATGCTGACATGGACACCTCCGTTAAGAAACATTAACAGTGCACTAATGGAAAATGAGTTTTGAAAAATAAAAAGTTACTAACATGGTGAGTTTTAGACGTTTTAAAAAGTTGTGATGAGTTTAAGAGAAATGGTGAAAACTCATGGTGAGTTTTTGACAATTTCCCTTAGCATAAGGTATGGATCCATACTTCTAACGGATCTTCACAATGAATTAAAGGACCTCACCTTAAAAGCTTAATAAAAAAAAAGTCAAAGAAATAATGAGAAAGCCTCTCAACTACATATAAATAGTAGAAACTAGCTATATTGTAAATGCAAACAGCAAATGAAATTGAAGGTGTGTTTCTTTTATAATGCTGTTAGGTTTCCTTAATTGATGATCATAATCATGCATGGCCAGGAGCCAACTAGCAGAACAAAACTTAAAAGTAGTTGGTTTGAGACTCTTAGGATTGTGGCTGGACAGGACAGATGTAGAGGTGTAAAGTGGGCCGGCATGGCACGGCCCGTGGGCGGCCCATGCAAAGTGCGGGTCATGCCGTGCTGGCCCATGGGCTATCACGGGCCGTGTCGCCCTCCCCGATGAAAAATTTGGGGGTTGGCCCGGCACGGTCTACGGCCCAGGCCCGTGCAGGCCTATGCCGTGCCACAGGTCGGGCTGGCCCGTAGGCCAAGCCTTGGGCCAAGTCGGGCCCAAGCTATTTATTTAAAAAAATGACAAAAAACTTTAAAATTTTAATTTTATATGAATTTTGTGTATAAAATAGCTTATATATACAATAATTAAATAAATTAGTGTAATAAAATTAAAAAATATTTATTTTATTAATATATTATATACTATATATTATTATATAATTATAATTTATATAAAATATATATAAATATATATATAATATATAAATAATATATATGGGCCGGGCTACGGGTTGCCAGGCTACGGGTTGGGCCGTGCCAACCCGTGGACCTAAAACCCCCGGCCCAGCACAGCCCGCAGACCGTCATGCCAAGCCAGTCCAAGTTTGTGTCGGGTCGCGGGCGGCACAACCCGATTTACACCTCTAGACAGATGGAGGTTCCACCGGAGAAGGTTGACACAGCCCCACTAAAATAAGAAATGATACTCATAAAATGGTTTATGAATCAATACATATCTGCAATGTAGAACCTACTATCAATCAAAAGAACCTCATCAAATAAGGTGTTCTATTGTAGATGCTTATCTCATTTCTTTTTTAAATTATCTCATTTGCTTTGGGAACACGCCAAAAAGACCCTCTATACTTTGTTTTGCGACAAAGACCCCGTGTACTATGACCGTGAGACAAAGACCCCGTGTACTATGGGTTCAATCCCAAAAAAAGCCATTGTAATATTTTTTAATCCCCATACTACGTAATAACTATTCATATGAGAAAACACTATTCATCATCCCCGTGATTCCTTCACATTTTCTCTCTCTCCCCCCGATCTCTCTTCTTTCCCTTCCCTTTAACAGCGTTGGGATTGAACCCATTTTCACGAGTTTGGTGTGGTTGCTCTGAACAATTGAGAGGTGATATAAAGATAGCGTTGAGTCGTGCTGAACCCGCTCGCACTCGGACCGGAGTAGATGCAGAAGCGGCGGCAACACCTCTAACACCCCTATCGCCATTTTGTTGTCATCATCAAGCGCCAGGCTGAAGAGGGCACTGGCCAGTGATGTACAGAGGGGGTAAAGTAGTTAGTTGGGTTCATGCATGTACTAGGGTTGTGGTGCCAAAATCTCAGTGTCGAATGTTAATCTGTTGTCGACCCATTTGTTAGCTCTGGATTTTAGCTTCAGTATCGCTTCTCTATTGAAATGAAAGATCCTCTCACTTAGAGGGGCATCGGTAGAGAACATCACCTGGGGACTGCCCTCAGGGAATCGAAGCACCGCAAAATAACTGTTGACAAAATTGCAGTGAAAATCCGGTGGCCTCGTGAGTTTGTTGACACCCCTGCATACCTCGGAAAAGGCATGGAAGAAGCTCTTGAAGGACGTACTGTCAGCCACCACGTGGTTGGCGGTGCACCAGATGAAGATTCCATCAGCGAGCTCAATCACATGGAGGGTGGCTATGGGCTTGAAATGGCCGTTGTAGATGATGGTGCGGTCAAAGGCAAAGAACTCCTTAACGGAGTCTAGCACATGGATGGGAGAGAGAATGTCACGAATGGGGAGGTGAGCAGCATTGGCATGGAGAAAATCGATGCCAGCATCATTGCAGACAATGTAAACGTAACCGTCATCGTTAGTTGTGAGACGGCCAGCGAGGGCAAGAAAATATATCAGTTTTGGAAAGGCCGCGTTTAAGAAGAGAGAGAAGAGAATCGATGGGAAGAGGAGGATGAGTGTAAAAAAGGCCCTTCTATATATAATGGTAGGGGAGCATAGGGAGATTAGAGACGGAAAGGTTGAGTAATCCAAGCGAGGATTCCTGTTCTAGGAACACAGTGCATTTGGAGATGATCGTAATAGAAGATGAGGAAATCATTTTGTTCTTCTCTCAATGTCTCACCCACACACACACTCTCTCTCACTGCTTTCTACCTTTAGCTCAGAAGCCCTGAGAGCACTAGGGAACGATAAGGGAGGGGTGGGGGTATATAAAAGGGAGGATGAACACACTTGGGTTCATGCACTTTGTACAGCCTGGCGCATGGGTTCATGCACTTTCACCGACCCCATAGTATTTTACCCCCCCCCC